AATTGATGAGAACTTGTCCCACAGCCCTACACAGTAATTATTAGTGTTCGTAATGATACCCCAAGGCATTACATTCCCCTGAAATGCCTTCGGAATCATCAAAGAAAGATTAAACCACGCCTATTAGTATAATTGCTTTTTGAAATATCTTCTATTTTATTCTCTTGCTTGGAAAATTGATAACCTATGGATTTTCAATTAACTTTAAGTTACAAAGAACATTCAGTTTACCCAAGTACGCCATCCATTTTCTGTTCTCTTTTAGGAGGTGTTTATTATCCATCTCAGGCTGAATCCCCCAAAGATAACAGTATTTTGGGGCTGGAAAAATCATGGATCGGTCATTGGAGGCCCTAGCTCCAGCCCTTTCTAAGACTGTTGACCCTGCAAGTCACCTAGCCTCTCCCAGCCTCGGTTTCACCACCTGTACAAAAATGGATTAATGTCAGCCCGGCTCCCTCAGGGTCATTGCTAGAATCGAGTAGGTTACGGGTGTGTTTGTGAATATCATGTCTGTGCAAATGAGATATACATGGGAAGCACTTGAGAATTGCTTGATAAGACCTCGGGCTCAGCCAACAAAACTGCTAGCTTGGGCAAGGAACACTGGACAGGCTTCCTGGACCCATGGTTTTCCCAACAGCAACCTGTGCAGCTCTGGGCAAGTCACTAGGCCTGCCTGGGCCTCAGTTTCATCATCAGTAAAATGGGAGCAGGCAGACTTGGAGGAGACCAGAAATTGCAAAGTGGCAGTTCAAGAACCAAATTCTGAGGGACAAAGTGAGAGAGTGGCATGGATATATATACACTACCAAATGTAAAATCGATAGCTAGTGGGAAGCAGCCGCATAGCACAGGGAGATCAGCTCGGTGCTCTGTGACCACCTAAAGGGGTGGGATAGAGAGGGTGGAAGGGAGGGAGATGCCAGAGGGAAGAGATATGGGGATATATGTATATGTATATCTGATTCACTTTGTTATAAAGCAGAAACTAACACACCATTGTAAAGCAATTATACTCCAACAAAGATGTTAAAAAAAGAACCAAATTGTGCCCACGGGCATTTTTTTTTTTTTCTGCCGCACTGCACAGCTTACGAGATCTTAGTTCCCTGACCAGGGATTGAACCCAGGCCCTCAACAGTGAAAACCCTGAGTCCTAACCAGTGAACCTCCAGGGAATTCTTGGACTAGCAGTGTTTTAAATTCATTACCAATATTTAAAAACTGAGAGATCATACAATTACCACATCAGAAAAAAAAAAAAAAACCACAAGAAAAAAACCTGATTAAAAAATCGGCAGAGGGGCTTCCCTGGTGGCACAGTGGTTGAGAGTCCGCCTGCCGATGCAGGGGACGCGGGTTCGTGCCCCGGTCCAGGAGGATCCCACATGCCGTGGAGCAGCTGGGCCCATGAGCCATGGCCTTTGAGCCTGCGCGTCCGGAGCCTGTGCTCCGCAATGGGAGAGGCCACAGCAGTGAGAGGCCTGCATACTGCAAAAAAAAAAAAAAAAAAAAATCGGCAGAGGATCTGAATAGACGTTTTCCCAAAGAAGACATACAGATGGCCAACAGACACATGAAAAGATACTCAACATCATTAATCATCAGGGAAATGCAAATCAAAACCACAATGAGATACCACCTCACACCTGTCAGAATGACTATCAACAAAAAGACAAAGATTAACAAGTGCTGGTGAGGATATGGAGAAAAGGGAACACTCATGCACTGTTGGTGGGATTGTAAATGGGAGCAGCCACTATGGAAAACAGTATGGAGGGTCCTCAAAAAATTAAAAACAGAATTGCCATACAATCCAGCAATTTTACTTCTGGGTATTTACACAAAGAAAATGAAAACACAAATTCAAAAAGATATATGCACCCAATGTTCATTACAGAATTATTTACAATAGCCAAGCTTTGGAAGCAACCAAAGTGTCGATTGACAGATGAATGGATAAAGATGTGAAATGTATATATATATATATATATCATATGTGTGTATTTATATAAATACACACACACACAGACATATATATATATATATATATATATAATATCATAAAAAAATGAAATCTTGCTGTTTGTGACAACATAGATGGATCTAAAGGGTATTATGCTAAGTGAAATTAAGTCAGACAAAGACAAAACAAAATCTGTACGGTCTCACTTATATGTAGAATCTAAAAATCAAGACAAACAAACAAAACAAAATGAAAAGAGACTCATAGGACTTCCCTGGTGGCGCAGTGGTTAAGAATCCACCTGCCAACGCAGGGGACACAGGTTCAAGCCCTGGTCCGGGAAGATCCCACATGCTGTGGAGCAACTAAGCCTATGTGCCACAACTACTGAACCTGCACTCTAGAGCCCACGAGCCACAACTACTGAGCCCCTGTGCCATGAGTACTGAAGCCCACATGCCTAGATCCCGTGCTTCACAACAAGAGAAGCCACTGCAATGAGAAGCCCACGCACCGCAATGAAAAGTAGTCCCTGCTCACTGCAACTAGTGAAAGTCCGCGCACAGCAACGAAGACCCAACGCAGCCATAAATAAATAAATAAATAAATGTATAAAAAAAAAAGACAGAGAGAGACTCATAGATACAGAGAACAAATGGGTGGTTGCCAGAAATAGGTACAGGAGAGTAAGAGGTACAAATCTCCAGCTGTAAAATAAATAAGCATAAGGAATATATTCAATGATACTGTAATAACTTTGTATGGGGACAGATGGTTACTAGACTTATCGTGGTGATCATCTCAGAATGTATGCAAATGTCAAATCACTATGTAGTACACCTGAAACTAACATAATATTGTACATCAACTAGATTTCCCTTTTAAAATAAATAAATATAAATAAATGAATAAAAATTGAGAGATTGCATTAAAAATCTAGAATCATGGTTTTTAAAAAAAAAAAAAGAAAGAAAGAAAAGAAAAGAAAAGTTCTGGCTAAACCAAGCCAAGATCTTGCAAGGCAGAATTGGCCAGTGTCAAGCAGCTGTTGGGCCCCCCCATCTCTCACTCTACCCCTGTGTCTCCCAGCTGGTTCTCCTAGCTTGTGTTTACTTGCCCACCCACCCCTCCCCGGCCCCTGTGGGTTCATGACCCCTAGACCTAGAGGTCTCGAAGCCTTTAGGCCTTGACAGTCACAGTTCCCTCAGGGATGCTGCCCTTTGTCCTAAGGAGAAAGAGTGACACAGGAGCTGCCCAGGGCCACTCTTCTCACCTGGCTCTGGGCTCTGGAAGGGCACATTCTTTTTGCACCTTCCAAGCTGATGCAGAGCAAAGCACCTTTGAGGAAACTCCCCCCCACAACCCTCCCCAGCCCTCACAGGCCTCGCAGCCAGAGCCAGTAACTCACAGCTGTGGTTACCCGCGCGCTGATTTCTGTTTTAAAAAATACTGCTGGATAAACAGTGAGGGAAACCCGAGCTGTTCCCACACCACATAAATCCCCGGTTTGCTGTCCTATCTGGTTAGCTGGTTTTCCCCCAAATAATAGCACTGCTGCCTTGCATCAAGGGCTGGAAAAGTGCACCCGGGGAAGTGGGCCTGGGAGTCTCCCAGGCTGGCGCCCGGCCCAGGCCTCCCTCCTTCTCTCTTTCAGCACTTCCTGCCCAGGGCACTCACCTTTGTCCTCACTCCCTTCACCTGCATGCCCTTCCTCCTCCCCTCCTCCTGTCTGCTTTGTCTCACTCCAAAGGCCTCCATGGGAGACCTTCCTGGGGGACCCTGGGCTCCTCTTGCAACCAGAAAGCCCACAGCCAAAGTTAAACCTACCGGACCACCATCCCTCCCCCTGGAATGCCCCCTTGAGAATTTCCTTCCAGAGCCTTCTGTCAAAGTGCAAATATCCCAGCTCAGAAAGTAAGGTCAGAGCCTTCTCCATCTTGAAGATTAGTTTTGCCTTAGATTAGGGTTTCCAGACCTAGGGGGGGAGAAAAAGACACCCAGTTAAATTTGAATTTCATATAAACAACAAATACTTTTTCAGCTTAAGTGTGTCCCCAGTATTGCATAGAACGTATTTAACTGGGCTCCCTGTATTTTTTCTGGCTGCCCTAACTTAGAGCCTTCCCTTGAAATCAACGTGCCTTTAACTCCTTCAGGCACAGAAGCTCTGGAAAGGGTGCATTTACTGAGCACCTACTGCACATTGTCTATACAGCCAGCTTCCACTTTTCAGTTGAGGAAACAGAGATCATGTGACCTCCGGGAGCTGGGGTCCAGATGCAGGCCACTGTGTGCATTATTGTGCTTTCCAGTCATCTGCCCACAATCTTGGTAGCAGACAAGTGACGGTTGCACCAAAGGTTTAAAAAATATGTACACAAGAGAGAAGTTTCATCTGAGGGAAATGTCTCTGTTATTAACGCAGTATTTTCTGGGATTTAGGGGAAGACCCTGTCATCAGGTCCCCCTGGGACATTCCCCTGAAATGTCTTGGAAGCTTCCTGGGAGCATCTGCGACCGTTGTGAGGACTGTATTCCGTGGTTTACTCAACTCCGACCTGTCCATCCAATTGGTCGAGCCTCACAAAAGTCCTATAGGTGAATAGTAACCCTTCTGCCTCAAAGTTCTCTGAGACAAAAAGGACATATACATTCCAAATAATTCCCAGGACCAGCAATAAACATTCTGGTCCAAAATGATTTCCGTCATATTTAAAGCTCGTCTGTCTCCCCTCCCATCCCTCGTGGTCTTGCTAGGGATCAGGTATCTTATCTGATTCACATGTTCTGCTACATGAGTGAATGCTAATGACCTCACCTTGTCCCTCTCAGGTGGCCTTCTGGAGTTGTCCTCAAGGCAAAAACCTCAGGTATTTTCATCATCATCATCCAGACGTTACCACTAAACACTGTACACCAGGCTATGGCACATAATTTCCTACATCACCTCACTCTCTTCTCAGCAACCCAACGGGGAAAGAAGAAAAAATTTATTCCCACTGTACAGATGAAGAAACTGAGGCTCAGGAATTCCCTGGAGGTCCAGTGGTTAGGACTTGGTACTTTCACTGCCGGGACCCAGGTTCAATCCCTGGTCAGGGAACAAAGATCACACAAGCCACTCGGCATGGCCAAAAAAAGAAAAAAAAAAACCAAAAAACTGAGGTTCAAGTGATAGAGTTGCCCAAAACCATTCAGTTTATTAGTGGCAGAGGTAGGATTTGAACCCACGCTCTCCTGATTCCCAAGGCTATGATCTTGACCCTCTGTAGAAGAAAGTATGGGGTGGGGGGTCCACTAGGATGGGCTGTCTTCACCCTCCATGGAGCCGTGACCTGCCCCGTAGTCCAGCTGAGTAAGGAAGGGGAAGACATAATAATTCCCCAGGTACATCGCCCTTTACAGTCAACCAGCTCTTTTCACAGACATCAGGTCATTTATCCTCATAATAGCCACAGGAGGCCGATACTGTCATCTCTACTTGGCCAGCGAGAAAACTGAGGCTGAGAAAAGGGGTGTGACTTGCCTGAGGCCACACAGCAGAAGAAGGGCAAGGCCACACCTTGAATCAGAGTCCCTGCCTCCAGGCCCGGGTTCTCCCCTGACACCCCTTCAAGTCCAGGCACAGGTGGGAGGGGGGCAAGTGCGGAAGCAGGTCTGCAGGCGCCAAGGGCACGCCTGCTTGTCGAGCACAATGGGGGAAATTCCGAAAGTTCCTTGGGATGGCTCAGGTCTGGCCAAGCCCACTGTCCTCCTCAGGGGCCCTCCTCCTGATGCAGCCTTTTCCTCTTCCTCCCCTGCCTCCCCCAACAAGTTGAAATGGGGTCCCCTCCCTTCCTGTAAGCCCTGCTCCCCTTGGCTGCGCAGGGATCCTTTCTGCCATGTCCATCCACCTCTGTCTCGCAGGCCTCGGGGTCTTGGCGGGGACACGCTGACTTGGAGGAGGTTAAAGGTGCCGGTGCTCGGCCTTCATCTAACAAATGGGTCGCCGTGAGGGGAGGACCATTGTTGTTCTTTCCTGGCCTCAGAAGAGGGGCCTGTCAGGAAGATATAGAGGCCGGCAGGCCCCCCACTGCGCCCCGCAGGGAGGCTGACAGACGCCAGCAGCTGTGCGGGCGCCGGGGTGCCAGTGCCCTGCCTTCTCAGCACAGAGGGCCCCCCGCGCCCCTCCTGACCTCTCAGCTCCCCCCCCACCCCCACCACGACCCAGGGCCCACCCTTCCAGGGGCAAAGGGCCAGGCTCTGGGCCTCCCTGGGATGGGGTCCCTGGCCAGATGCGGAGGCCAGAACAGGAATCCGATTACAGCATGCGGTCCAGGCCCCCCGGGAAGGCTATCCTCCCACCCAGCCCCCTGTGGATTCCTTCCAGAGCCCTCACAGCCTGCAGCCCCTCTAGGGACCTCCCGAGGCTGTTTCTGTAGAATTTCCTCAGTGCCCCCCGCAGTCCCACACTCTCCCTTTGGAATCACTGAGGTTGAGAACTAGATGTACTAGGAAGGGAGCCACATGTATCTATTACTTACTTCGCACTTCACATAAACGATTTCATTTCAAATTCTCCAGCATCTGTGGGGTGGGCATTCTGATGCCGTGGGGTCAGGCTGCCTGTGTTTGAATCCTGGAACCTCCACTTCCCAGCTGTGTGACCTTGTGCAGGTTACATAGTCTCTCTGTGCTTCAGAATCCTCTTCTGAAAGATGGAGAAGGGGAGAAAAGCTCTTGCCTCTGAGGGCTTCTGTGGGTGTCCACTGGGGAATGTGTGTGAGGCGCTAAGATCAGGGGATGAATGGCAGCTTTAACTACCATCCCAGGTGAGGAAATGGAAGCTCAGAGAGGTGAGGTGACTTGCCCCAGAGCACACAGTTGGGAAGTGGCAAAATTCAGATTTGAGCTCAGACCTGTCTAACCCCAAAGTCCACGCTCCTTCCTCTGCATGAAACTGCTCCAGACTGGACAGCCAGACACCGAAGGGCAATTCCTGCTTCTGCCATTTCTTTTTTTTTTTTTTTTTGATCCATGGGGACTTTATTAGAGAAGAAATTAACCGTTCATACTAGAGACTACAGAAGGAAATTAACTTAATCTTGCAATTCTAGAACAACCTTCATTTTTTTTTTTTTTTTTTTTTTTTTTTTTTTTTTTTTTTTTTTTTTTTTTTTTTTGCGGTACGCGGGCCTCTCACTGCCGTGGCCTCTCCAGTTGCGGAGCACAGGCTGCGGACGTGCAGGCTCAGCGGCCGTGGCTCACGGGCCCAGCCGCTCCGCGGCATGCGGGATCCTCCCGGACCGGGGCACGAACCCGCGTCCCCTGCATCGGCAGGCGGACTCTCAACCACTGTGCCACCAGGGAAGCCCTGCCATTTCTTAACTGTGTGATTCTGAGCAGCTCACATCATCTGTCTGAGCCTCGGTTTCTTCATTTGTGAAATGTGGAGCATAATTCTTACTTTACCCACAATAGGAGAGTTGTGAGGTTCAGAGGAGAGATGTGTGTGCAACAGGTAATTCCTGGACAAAGCGGAGAGGTGAGTCTGGTTTGTGGCTATGACCCCATCTCCTCTGTCAGCTGGCAACACCCTGGCCACCTGTTCTGGAAGACAGGATGCCTATTTCATTAAGAACGTGTGTGCAGCCTCCAGCCTGCAGAACTGAGACCTGTGGTCCCTTCTGGGGGGGACCCTGGGCATCTTTGCAACAAGCCAGCGGGGACATTGTTCTTCTGATCCATTCCCATTTCAATCCCAATCCTGCTGCACTGGGCCATGGAAATATTCAGTGGGAGAGGAGCTCTGGCCCCATGTGCTTGGAAAGTCATCCTCCAAGAAATTATATTAACCCTCCAGAGAGGCCAGCAAGGTCATGGGGATTGAGTAGACTGATTGCCCAGTTGAAATGGCAATGGGTCCTCCTGTGCTGGGCACCAGCCCGGAAGACCACGCAACCGTTTGCCGAAGAGAGCTCCTTTGGGAATGAGAATCCCCTAATTCCTATTTCCATGCCCAGATTCCATGGAAACCTTGGCCTCTGGGGGTAGGGAAGGGGAAGCAGGTGGATGAAGTTTAGGGGACCAGAGAGCAGGTGGGGGAGGCCTGGAGAAACTTCAAGGAACTTATCTAAGTGTCTTTCCTTTGCGGTGGAGAAAAATGACTTGAAACGCCTCTGGAGAAGAATGTGGCTAATTGGCATGTAAGTTGGGGGTTAAAGAGCGGAAGGAAGAATCTGATTGTTTTTTTAAGTTACTGAGAAAGTGAGAATGTCACTTTTGGGCCGAGAGAAATAATTTTTTTCTGGGGTGTGTCTTTCTACTACAGACCATAGTGGGCCGCTGAGACTTGCAAAAAAAGATTTCTTTTAATCCACCTTCCTTTTTGCAAGCAGCAGTAGAAGGGCCTTTAAATCAAATGCAATCAGCAAACTTGTCTCTTGCGCTTATTCCCTGCTTCACTCCCTGGAATTTGGCACTTGATGGATTCTGGATATGACTTAAGTCTTTTTCGAAATCCAAGACTTGGGGAATTTTGTTAACAGTGCAATAAAATAACTTCATAGTGTTACAGGAGAAACATTAAAGAAATTGTGTGTGTGCTGCTCTCTTTCCTTAAAAAAAAAAAAAAATAAATACAGACAATGTTTCTTTAAAAGACTCCATCTGCAAATCCCATTAGATGTGCATATAAGGTTTCTGATGATTAATAGTTGCCTGCTCGGGTTTTGGTTGGAGGGGATCGTGTGTGTGCTGGTTAACCCCTCCCTCTCCTCTCTCACATTTCACTTCAGAAATCTGTCACTCTCTCCCCACCGAAGGATTTAAAAGTGTGTCTCAGCAGCCCTGGACCAGCTCTTTGCAGGCATTTGCTGCGGGCTCCAAGACAAGCACTCATCAGCTGGTGCGTCTGGGCTGGAACAGTGAAAATGTTTAGTGTCATCGGCGACAAATACACGTACAGGGGACCCCACTAGGCAGGTTGGTGTGTCGGAGGGGGGGACCAGGAAGCCAGGAACGAAGTCCAGCATAGGTGCGGGCACACGTATGTGTGACGAGACACATGTGTGCGTAGCTGTAAGGAACAACTTTAGCTTTGGTTTTTGTTTTGGTTCCTGGGGTGAATTTTCTGTTGAACCTTTTTCCCTCCTGTTAAAAAAAAAAATTTTTTTTTTTGCATTTTTAACACTTTGAATATAAAAAGTGTAAGACTGCAGCCTTTGAAAGGACTGAGGCGTGCATCAGACAGCAGATGGATCCAGTGGCCAGCAGCTGCATGAGGGGCCCCCATCCCCCGGCCCCGGTCTGGGGCTGCCTTCGAAACCCTCACTCAGAAGGCAGTGGGGCCTCAGGCCTCCCCCACTACCCGCCAACCCCATTCTCCTTCCACCAGAAACCAGACTTCCCAGGGACAGCAACGGCAGCGTACCCTGACTTCTCAGCCTCCTGCCTGGCAGCCACCCCACACAGCCTGCCCCGGGAGGAGCGCGGCTTCACTGAGCAGCACCCCGCCTTCCCACAACCTCCCGACTGGCACTTTCCTGTCTCAGAGGCCCGGCATAGGCTCAACCCGGGCCCAGCAGGGGGCTCCAAGGAGATGGGGGCCAGCAGCCCAGGCCTGGTGGACACCACGGGAGGCCCAGGCGAGGACTACGAGGTCCTTGGGAGCACTGCCAGTGGGACGGAGAAGAAGTCAACCAGGCGGAAAAAGGAGAGTTCAGGTAAGTGCCTGAGGAACAGCTGACCGTTCCTTTGCTGTGTGACCTTGAGGAGGTTGCTTGCCCTCTCTGAGCCTAGGTATCCTGACCATGAATGCAGAACAATATGATCTAATCTACCCAAAGGCAGGAGACTTAGAACAGTTACCTTTGGGGTTGCTTCTACTCAGAGTTCTAAGATTCTCTGGTGACAGAGGCTATGTCTGTGTCCTCAGCTCTCCTGGGCCTTGGGAAGGATGTGCCGGCAAGAGAACGAAACAGGATCCACAAAGATTTGAAGGACATGTGGGACGGAGCCTCTGGGTACAGGCTGGCAAGGGCTGGAGAGGGGCTTTCCTGAACCAGGCTGCCTATGGGTCACGCTTCTCCCCACCATGCCCCAGCCAGCTCCAAATGGTCCCAGAGCCCCAGGGCTTGCTCCCCAGAGGAGTCAGCTGAGACCAAGGCTCAGAGGGCTAGGACCAAGGCTGGGACCCCGGGCAGTCAAGTAGAACCAGGACTCCGTGTCTCCAGGAGTCTAGAGGGAGAGAAGCAGACATAGCGCAGGGACGCAAGAGGCAGGCAGAAAGATTTGGGGCAGACTGCCCATGAGGTATCGCCCTCTGCAGCTGGGCTGTGCCCAGGCCAAGGGGCAGCTCAGCATGCTAAGGTCTGGGTGACCCCCCCAAAAGGCCACTCCTCTGAGGAGCCCTCCTGAGGGATCGCCAGTCTTGGAGAAAGTCAGGGAGGCAGGCAGCAAAGGGCAAGCACTGGACCTCAGAATGCAGGTAAAGCCCTGCTCGGCGCTGGAGCAGCAGAGGTCAGATGATGGAGCTGACCTGCTTGTTCAGATCCCAGCTAAAGTCCATCTCCTCCTGGTTGGGAGGACCTGTTGTTTCCTCATTTCCCCGTGGGACCCCCCCCCCCCCCCACAGCCTCTCTCACTGCCCATTCACCTTTTGTCTGGTTTCCTGTCCCCACCTTGCCCGGAACAAGACAGTGCCCTTGCCTCCTGCCCCCACTGCCCCACTACGTCCTCCTGACGGCCGCCCTTGGGGCACATCTGTCTTTCTGAACCTACAGAAGACCTTTCATGGGGCTAACAAGGGGCAGGCAGCAAATGAGAGGACTGACTAACCAACGAAAACACTCTCTGCTTTGCTTTATGAAGCGCTTTCAAAGTAGCAGATTTCCCGAGCATCTTTTTTTTTTTGCCAAGCATTGGCAGAGGTCCTGGGACTGCGGGGATGAATAAGGTGGTCTCACCCCCAAAGAGTTCAGACTGAGAGTGAGGAGAAGCCAGCAGAGACCTTTCCGGCAGTGGATGTGCTGTGATCTAGGGGGTTCGAGGCGCTGCAGGAAACATACGATAACTCTTTTGAGTCCCACAAGTTTTCGAGTTTGGTACAGCAGGTCTTGTCAGTGACTTGATTCTTTACACGTGCAAAAGGAGAAACTGAAAAGTCTGAGGGGATCTCTGCTAGCATGGAGTCAAAACAGAGTGACCCACTCATCTCGACGTACCCAGGACTTTTCTGGTTTTAGCATTGAAAGTCCAGTGTCCCCGGGACAGTTGGTCACCCTAGAAGAAAGCTCAAACCCCAGACTTCAGACCCCGAATCCCTCACCCTTCAGGAGATTTCAAGCAGAATCCTCACTTTGAAATATCTGGTCTCCATGCTTGAAGAAGCCCCTCATTGTGCTCACAGTGGATGATAAAAACCACAGCCTTCCTGGCTGCTAAATAGAAGGGCCCTTTAAATCCCCAGCCAGTTAAACCCTGAACTATTCCTAAGCCTGGATGGAGATTTGCAGAGAATGGGGCACTTTCTGCTTCTCCTCTCCAATGAGCTGTCAGCCACTTGGCTCTGCGCCTAGTTGAAGAGCTCTCCCCTCCTTGGCGCCTGCCACTGTGGCTCCTCCACCTCTGCCCACATCCACCTTGGCTTCATCCAGCCATTTTCCAGGGACCTGTGAGCCAAGAGCATTGGGAAGGCATGGGCAAAGGCAAGGGCTGGGCTTAGGCAAGCTCATTCCGTGTTTCAGCAAGACCCAAATGCACCATCTTTCCTTTTGGCGAGTGGCCCATGGATGGCGCTGCTCACTTGCCAAGCAGCTGGCCACCCCAGAGCACCCTCTTCATAGGGTCAGCCTCTGGTGGGGGGAGTTTCCCACCCAGGAGGGAGCCTGGGCTCTCCCTCGAGGTTCCCTCAGAAGCAGCAGCAGGAGTAGCAGTCGCACAAAACAGGGCACAGCAAGCTGACTCTCATTCATTCTCTGGGGTTCCAGACCCTCTCTGGTCAGCATGGAAACCTCTATTGCATGGCTGCTTGCATCTTCCTTCAGAATTTAACTGAAGGGGAAGGAGGCAGGAAAGGTCAGTTTTGTAAGAGCCTAAAGAAAAGGGAAAGCGATGCACAAGGCTCACAACCAACTCCAGGAGTCTGGAGTTCAGTTCACAAGAGACAAACCCACGAAGACCCCCACCCCACCCTACAAATCCTGAGCCACTGGTTGCATTCTCTATTTTAAATTTTGACATTCTGCTCATTGTGGATTTTTGTATTAATTTTGATTTTTTAAAACTTTGCGTTAAGATATTCTTTCTCTTGATTACTGAGGTTTTTGGCACCCCTTGCATTTTGCATTCATCGTGTCTCACGCACCTCACCCTGGCCCCTGCTAAGCCGTCTCTGGAAGGTTAACCAGCATTGCTCAGAAGTGTGTTTTCCATCGTGCTTCACAATCAGGCAGTCAGGCTGCAGGGTCGGCGCTGCCACTTTTGGCTGCTTGACTTTGGGAAAGGTCTTAAATTCTTGGAGCCTCTGTTTCCCCAGCTGTAAAATGGGACTATAACAATATCACTCTCCATATGGAGTCACTGTGAAGGTCAAATTCTGTGATCTGTGAGATTAACACTGTGCCTGGCACATGAGTTCGATAAATAGCAGGTATGAATGGTATTAGGCCCATATTTCTAGAACCAGACTTCAGAACATAGAATCTGATAAATAGCTCTATGTTATGGGGGACACTGAAATTGAATATTTCAAATACGCCGTCTCAGAAATTCCTGAGTCTGGGTTATAAGATGTGGGAATTTCTCGCATTCATTGTTGGTCCTGAAATCCAGTTGCCATTAATTAGGAGCCTGGAGCTCAGAGATCTGCCAGAGAGGCTGGGGTAGGGGGTGAGTCATGCCCGGTAAATGTGTCCCATACTGGCTGGCCTGGCCAGGGGGGTCCGGTAACAGAAAGTTACTGAAAGTTTGTTTCCAAAGGAACATTCTCTGCCCTCTCCCCTTCTTCCTCTGCCAGTCCCAGCTGCTCCCCCATCACTCCCCATTACTGGAAGTGGAGCTGATTTGCTCAAGGAAATGGTCAGGAAAGCGGGGTCCTCGGCTCCTACCCTGAGACTTTCTGTTGGTTCACAGCACAAAACTGATTTAGGAGACAGCTGTGATATTAACTCATCCCAACGACTCCCGCCCTGGGGCCAGGGGGTGTTAAAGACCCCTGCTGGCAAGGACAGCTGCAAGGCCACTCTTGTTTGCCCCCAACCTGTCGTTGCTACCGTGGTCGTCTTTAATTTATGGGAATGAAGGATTTCGCGGTGATTTCCTGACGGGGTTCAAGGGAAGGTCGCGCGTGATCAGCCCCGGCTACAGGTGAATCTGATCGCCCGCCTTGGAGAGTCGCGGTGCCCCGGATCCGCTCAGCGCCGCTCGCCGACACTCTGACACACTCACTCTGCCTTCATCAGACTCGCTTTGCCCCATCCTCCTGCAGCCCCAACACGCGTGCCTCCCAGGGCTCCTCCTTCCCCGATTTCTCCCCTGCAAGATCTGATGTCCACCTCCCCCTGCCCAGCTTACAGCGCACTCTCAATTTCCCCTGAGGTTGAAAACCCCTCCACAGATTGGCCTCTTTCCC